ACACCTTATTCTCTTGTATATGGCGTAGAAGCTGTTCTACCGCTCGAAAGTCAAATTCCCTCACTAAGGATGGCTATACAAGAAGGCTTGACTGATGAAGAAAATGCAAAGTTACGCCTTCAGGAGTTGGAAGCGCTGGATGAGAGAAGGCTCGAAGCTCAACAACACTTGGAATGCTACCAAGCACGGTTATCCAAGGCATTCAACAAGAAAGTCCGCCCAAGGTCTTTCCAAGCCGGAGATCTCGTGCTGGCATTGCGTAGGCCTATCATTACAACTCATAAGACAAAAAGCAAGTTCACATCAAAGTGGGATGGACCCTACGTAATACAAGAGATCTACACCAATGGCGCCTACTTAATCATGGCAGAAGACGGGTTGAAGATCGGCCCCATCAACAGCAGATTTTTGAAGCGCTACTACCCCTAAAGCAAACGGCACCAAACGCTCCTGGCCCGCAAGAGCATAAACTGTGTACGGCAAAATCATCAAAAAAAAAAAAACCATCACTCATTTGAACTACGTCATGACTTGATCCCTCCTCAACCAAGGGTACGTAGGCAACTTGAAACTTCAAAACTTCAAGTACAGTCACATCATCAAAATAAAAAAATAAAAAAAAAGGAAAAAAACACATCTTGGTGATGTATATGTTTTATCTGTATTTAGCACAATACACTGAATAAAATAAAGCATGTACATTGATCTCCGAGAAATTACAAGTGTGTACAAAAAAAAAAAAAAAAAAAAAAAAAAAAAAAAAAGATGAAGCTTTCACAAAGGATGTGTACGTGAAGCCCCACTACGTGGCAACACTCTCGGAGCAGGAGGCATCGGAGCAGAAGGCATCGGAGCAAGAGACATCGGAGATAGAGCATTCGAGGCCTCAATACTTGGCGGAACGCTCGATGACCCAGGAAAAATGTGCCTCTGGAAGAAAGACGCAAGCCTTTGACGGTCGCTTTGCATTCGACCTTGAGATTCTTGCATCTCATCAAGCTTCCTCTTCATGCCCGACGAATAGTTATTTGCAAGCACATGCAAACTTCTATTCTCGTACTTAAGCTGTTTAATCTCCTGCTTAAGATCTTCCACCTCTGCCATCAATGATTCCACTTGACGAGACCGAGCAAGCAGGCGTTGACCCATGTTGGACACAGAGCTCGCACACTGAACACTGAGAGCGAGGGACTCTTGAACGGCCAACTCATCGGACCGTCCTGAAAGCAGCCTACTATCTTTTGGTGTGAGTAGGTTCCTAGCTACTATTGTAGCTGTTGTTGCATTCTGCATCACTGAGTCTTCACCTGTAAGAGGACCGTTAGAAGATAAGAAAGACGGGCACCATACATTACCTTGACGCGGCGCAACCGGATCACTGCTGAGACTCAATTCTAAGCTAAGGTTCGATGGGTTAGCCATTTTTTCAAAGGTGTTAAAAGAGATGGGTGGATGGAGTTAAACTCAAAAGGTCGGAGATGATTTTCAGGAATGAGCAACCTTCAAAGTGTGCATGTTAGAGGTGATCAATACCTCTATAAAATCGAAGAGGCGCTTGCTCAGAAATGAAAGAGACGTTGGTTCAGAAATCGAAGGGTCGCTTATTCAAAAAGTGAAGAGACATCGCTCTGCAAATCTCAAAAGCTGGGTTTTCCGGCGTAAGTTGGCGACGCTTTCTCAGCTTTTCAGAACACGGGTGCCACTTTGTCAAAAGATCACGTGGAGGTCATCATCGCAGCTACACATCTTTAGCCGACAAGCGCAAAGTTCGGTGGCGCTTTCTCTGCTTTTCAGAAAACGCGTGCAGCTTTGTCAAAAGAGGCGCTCGTTCAGAAATCGAAGAGGCGTCGTTCAGAAATCAAAGAGGCGTATTCAAAGATCGAAGAGTCGTCACTATTTCAAAAAGCCGGATTTGCGGGATCAAAAACGTTTGTCGACAAGGGTAAAAGAACAGTACCACCACTTGCTATTGGGAAATCCCTATATATGTCGACCTTCATCTTTTATGGCAAGGCAGACCTGCAAACAAAAAAAAAAATGCCCAACTCTTCCTCACCTCCGAGAGTACACTCCCAGCAAAGCATCTCAAAATGCTCAGTTTTCTTCCCCTCCGGGAATGCCCTTGCAAACAAATGACACCAAGGCAAAAGTATCTCATATCATCAAGGGCGAAAGCAAAGGTATCTCATATCATGCTTTTCCCCTATCTTTTCCTTTGCCCTTGTTCTCACCTGCCAAGACAAGGACAGAGAAAGCAATATGTCGGAACCTCCACTCAAACTTGCGCTGCCACCAAGAAGTGATGGTCCATTCAAATGCAAGGTTTGCATTCAACTCCTGCATCAGGAACAAATACTACAAGAGAAGATGCTAAACCTGCATAAGGAAATACCACTTCTGCAAATGGGAGCAAGTAAGGCAAGTGAAAATGATACATTGAAGCATATGGAGACAAGCTGCAACTGCATATGCTGAGCTATCCTCTAACCCTCTTCAATACGAATTGGAGAGATTGAACAAAGAAACAGAAAAAAAGGAGTAAGCTCAGACCTTCGGAAGAGACCAAAAGAATCCTGCTGCCCAGTTTAAGAGTAGCACAAAGGAAAATCAACGAGTGGAGGAGACCAAAATAATCCTGCACCCAGTTCAAGAGTAAGCCTGCGAAAAATCAACGATTGGAGGAAACCAGAAAATCTTCCAGTCGAACTCAAGATCAAGCCTCAATGGCCCTTGAAGAAATTTCCAGCCCAATTCAAGATCAAGCCTCGACGGCCCTTGGGTTGACATCTACATTAAGGGACTTCAAAACGCATCTTCTACACGTGTCAAGCACATGTCTACGACGCGCCTTGAAGTGGGGGCATTTGTAGACATCGAAATTTCAGTAAAACAAATGTTCACCAATGCATTAAAGTTTTGACGTGTCAAGGCATACATGGCATACGCCACGTGTTGTACAAATTATACACGTGGCGTGTGACTCAACAAAATAGGGAGAAATACCCTTGAAGGATTAAACAAGTTTTTCTTCTCATGTTGGGCAATGACAAGGCAAGCATACTTCAATCCATTACGGATCAAAGCAAGTTTTTCTCATTTGGGCAATGACAAAGCATACACATTTCAAGTTTAAAATGGTGTTAAGTGAGAAATTAAGCCATAAGTTACACCACTTCAAGTTTAAAATGGTATTAAGTGGGAAATTAGGCAATAAATTACACCACTTCAAGTTTTAAATGGTATTAAGTGGGAAATTAGGCAATAAGTTACACCACTTCAATTTCAATATTGCATTAAGTGGGAAAATTAGGCAATGGTGCTTGGAAAAGAAAAAAATATTTTGTGGTGGTGATTCATTCTCAAAGCCTATAAATAGGCTTCTCCATCAAGGTATCAAGCATCAACCAATTCACAAATACATTTCTCCACACACCAAAACCTTGAAGCCTTAGAGTTCTAAAGCTCTCAAGAAAATCCCGAAGGATCAAGAAAGCACTCTTTGTTCTTCATCAAATCCTCCTCCAAGATCAAGCCCCGACGGCCCTTGAAGAAAGTGTTCATCCGTTCATCCTAAGCTCAAGCCCCAACGGCCCTTTGGATCAACAACCTCAACAAATCCACACATCCAATCGTTCTTCAAGATTAAGCCCAAAAGCCCTTGAAGATCCACTCATCCATCAACCTTCAAGATCAAGCCCAAAAGCCCTTGAAGAAATCCACACAACCATTATTCAAGATCAAGCCCCGACGGCCCTTGAAGAAAGTGTTCATCCGTTCATCAACTGTTCATCCTTAGATCAAGCCCCGACGGCCCTTTGGATCAACAACTCATCCACAAACCTACACCCTACGAAGATAGAATCAGAGGACCAAATTTGAGAGAGATCGTAACCCCAAAATCATCAAACAAAATATTATTTTGTACACGTATTCTTGTTTCTTGTTTCAAGGAAAATTCGTGTTCACAATAACACTGGAGCAAAATAATTATTCAAACCAGCTTCAGCCTGCAACCTAAAGCTTAAATTGTTTATTTAGTTGTTCTTACAAGGCAACCAAAAAAAATTCTTCTCAAAAACTTTTCAACTTGGGAATTTACTTTGAAGCTTTTATCTTTTTCTTGCACTTTTTGAAACATCAGTCTCTTGGATTTTCCTGTACACTCTTCTATATTCGTGGTAACAAAGCTTCAACCTAACAGTGTATTTGTGACCCAAATCCAAGCTAAAGATGAACAATGATTTTGATTGTAAACATTCAACAAAGATTACTCATGGCTGATCATGAATTGGCAAAAAGTTCAGAGACCATACGATCTTTAACACAAATCTCTCTGTTCTCTATGAAAAAATAATAGCGAATCTCATGATCCACCGATCTTACAAATAGCTCCCTGTGTCTTGTACGTGTTATATTTCAAGTAGTAAAGAAAATATCTCCTGGACATACAAAAGAATTTGTTGGACCACATCAATCTTGTGCATACATTCTTCATTTCATGTCCATCTCTTTTTGCCAGGTTAAAAGTTGCTTGGTGTAATTGTTCTTTTGATTTTACTTCTCACTTATAAAACCCAAAACAAACTAATAATGACAAAGAACAAAGTCACAACCATGTTAGCATCCTTGTTGCTAGGCTTATAGCATCCTTGTTTCAAAGTCACAAACAATTCAATCTTTGAAACAAATGGCTCTTTTGATTTTATAGGTGCTTGAAACAATTCAATCTTGTCCAAATTCCCAAGCTTGATGTGTAGAAAAATGACACTGAGATATTGGACAAACTCCAACCACAATCTAAAAACTTACGAGATTAATTGGTGATCAGATCATCTGATTTCTGTATGTTTGGCAATGAATTGCACTTTAGTCTCAGCCATTTATTTTCCTCTATTTTGGATTTTTTTTATCCCTAACCTCAAAAGAAATGTCATATATGCTTCATTAAGTCCACCTAGCAATCAGTTTGAATACCAAATAATATAAACTAGAAAAATTACCTTTAACTCTCTCAAGAAGCTCTTCTTCTGATACAAATACCTTGTCAAGCTTCTTCTCAATCTTACTCTCCCAAGTCTCAACAAGTTCATTCATTGAGTAAACATTCCCTTGCGGCCTTAAGTACACCACCTTATTCAAGGTTCGTGGATCATCCAATGCTCTGATAGTGAATGCAGCAACATCACTTTCCTTAACAAAAACACCTGCAAACCAAACCACAATGCTCATCATCATTAGCAACAGCAGCGGCGGCAGATGATCAAAACACATTCTTGCTAACCCAGAACCCCTAGATTAACCTTTAGTATTCCCGTCTCCGAAAATTGTGACTTTGTCCCTTGGAGGGACCTTGAGGCCTGGCTGAACAAGCTGAGGAAGCAAATAGCTCATGTAGAAATTGCAGGAAATGTAAGTATATGGAATGCCACTGGTTTCCACAAAACGCCTAATCTCAGCTTTCTGCTCATAGAAGTTGTGGTCCATGCCTGATATTCTCGTTTTATCTGGGTCCAATCCAAATTCTGAGGGAATAAACCTCTGAGTAGGGAGCTCAAAAAAAGAAAAGAAAAGCAAATGAACTTCAGCCAGCCAATTTTTTGTATAAAAAATTTCTATTCATAAGCGCTTTTGCTAAGCACAACAAAATTTTTAGAAAAATTTATGTGCTCCCTGAAAATGCTTTTGGATTCATTTTGCGAGGAAGCAATTGATAGGTTCTTCTTTCAAAAAGCTGTACCAATGCTTACCTAACTCAAAACCCTTCAAATTTTTCCAACCATACATGGCTAAAAACACTTTTGGTTATTGAAAGCGTTTTTAATCATCTTAGAAGTAATCCCAAACTAGTAATTCTGTAGGAATTACTTTATGTTCATAAACACTTCAATAGTTTATTACAGGCACATTTAAATTTAATTAAAAATTCGAGTGCTTCTAAGGATTTCATGTGCTTCTCTAGAAATTACTTAATACTTGCATAACTCAAAAGCATTTTCGGTTATCAGAAAGCGTTCCAAAAGCAATCCCAAGGAGACAATCACTAAAAAACGGAAGGGTGCCAAACCTTGATGCAGCCAGCTTGTTTGATAACTTGGATAAGGAGCTTCTGATGGAGGACCTGTTTGGCTGAAACAGCACAAATTACCACATCCACTTGCTTCACCGCTTCCATTAGGCTGTCTTCGTCTTCCAGCGAACCCTGAAACACATAAAAATAAACATTTTTCTTAAATATTGTTCCAGCTTTAAGAGAAAAGTTGAGAGAGAGAGAGAGAGAGAGAGAGAGAGAGAGAGAGAGAGAGACTTGGAGGAGGGTGACGCCGGCACTGGAGAGAGAGTGAAACTTATGAGACTTGTGGGGATCGGAGAAGGTGGAGGGTCTGACGAGAGCGAATGTTGGGTGAGAGAATTGGAGGGCGGCTTGGGCCAAATGGTGACCCAGATTCCCTGTTACTCCGATTATCAGTACCCGGCTCTTCCCCTCCTCCATTTCTCAAACTCAAAACACTCAAATCCCAAAGCTTGAAAACTTTCGTCTTTGTCACAAAATAAGAACTCTCAATTTCACTTGTTGCAACTTTTTCGACGATCCTCGAAACAAACGACAATAACTGCGTTGAAATGTAACTCCTTTTGTTATTGTGAATAGATTCCATTTGTTACGATAAATATATAGAATTGATAAAGAATACTTAAAATTAAAAATACATTCCTTTTGTTTCTGCCAATGGTAATTACAATTAAAAATACATTCCTATTATAGAATTGATGAAGATAATGCTAGTTAGATTAAATTTGTAGTTTAAATTGCTAAATTTTTAAATTGTTAGAATAAGTGATGTGTCAAACAACAACAACAACAAAACATTTTCTCACTAAGTGGGTCAGCTATATAAATCCTAGAACGTCATTACACTCGGTTTTGTGTCATGTCCTCCGTTAGATCCAAATACTCTAAGTCTTTTCTTAGAGTCTCTTCCAAAGTTTTCCTAGGTCTTCCTTTACCCCTTTGGCCTTAGACCTCTGTCTCGTAGTCGCTTCTTCTAACTGGAGCGTCAGTAGGCCTTCTTTGCACATGTCTAAACCACCGTAACCGATTTTCTCTCATATTTCCTTTAATTTCGGCTACTCCTACTTTACCTCAAATATCCTCATTCCTAATCTTATCCTTTCTCGTATGCCTACACATTCCACGAAGCATCCTCATCTCCGCTACACCCATTTTATGTATGTGTTGATGCTTCACCGCCCAACATTCTATGCCATACAGCATCGCTGGCCTTATTGCCGTCCTATAAAATTTTCCCTTGAGTTTTCAGTGGCATACGGCGGTCACACAACATGCCGGATGCACTCTTCCACTTCGTCCATCCAACCTGTATTCTATGGTTGAGGTCTCCATCTAATTCTCCGTTCTTTTGCAAGATAGATCCTAGGTAACGAAAGTGGTCGCTCTTTGGTACTTCCTGATCTCCGATCCTAGCCCCTAACTCATTTTGGCCTCCATTTGCACTTAACTTGCACTCCATATATTCTGTCTTTGATCGGCTTAGGCGAAGACTTTTAGATTCCAACACTTATCTCCAAAGGTTAAGCTTCGCATTTACCCCTTCTTGAGTTTCATCTATCAACACTATATCGTCCGCGAAAAGCATACACCAAGGAATATCATCTTGAATATGTCTCGTTAACTCATACATTACCAATGCAAAAAGGTAAGGACTTAAGGATGAGCATTAATGTAACCCTACAGTTATGGGGAAGCTTTCGGTTTATCCTTCATGAGTTCTTATGGCAGTCTTTGCTCCATCATACATATCCTTTATAGCTTGAATATATGCTACTCATATTCTTGTCTTCTCTAAAATTCTCAAAAGAATGTCTTTTAGGACCCTATCATACGCTTTTTTCAAATCTATAAAGACCATGTGTAAATCATTTTTCTCATCTTTATATATTTCCATCAATCTTCGTAAGAGATAGATTGCCTCCATGGTTGAGCGCCCTGGCAAAAACCCGAATTGGTTGTCCGAAACCCGTGTCTCTTGCCTCAATCTATGCTCAATGACTCTCCCCCAGAGCTTCATTGTATGACTCATTAGCTTAATACCCCTATAGTTCATGCAATTTTGTATGTCGCCCTTATTTTTGTAGATAGGCACCAAAGTGCTCTTTCGCTACTCATTTGGCATCTTCTTCGTTTTCAAAATCCTATTGAAAAGGTCTGTGAGCCATGCTATACCTGTCTCTCCCAAGACTTTCCACACTTCGATTGGTATATCATCTGGGCCCACTACTTTTCTATGCTTCATTTTTTCAAAGTTACAACCACTTCTTCCTTCCTGATTTAGCGGTAAAAGGAGTAGTTTCTTAAGAACTCAAGCTTCTTATCATGGGAACCAGAACAGTTCACCGTTGCAGCCTAAGAACCACGATACTCAACTCAAGGCATCACGCGACGTAAGGTGGCAATTATGTAGTTGTGTGTGACTGGCTTGCGTAATCTTAAAACTTGTTTTCACTCTTTTCAGGAAGTGCTTCTTAAGAACTCAAAGATTGACTCTATGTTAAGAGTCCAAGCTTGTTTCCAAGCCCACACTTTCTGGTGACAAGTCTTTGGCTTGCACGGGTCTGTAACCTGACTCTGATACTATGTTGGAATTTTAGATCGACAGATCCGGGAGGCTCGACAATGACACTAATACTGTTCCCAACTTGGTCATTACTTCCTGTCCAATCCGTCAGGTATGATGTTTTCTCACAAAAGGACTCGATATTAATTAGAGTGAAGTAATCATATTTAAATCCATATTTTTCTTTTTCCCCACCAATGTGGGATAGTCAACACTTAATTTGGTGAAACATTTCGAAATGCCCAAAATATCATTTGGATTACAGGTTATGAAAACTATAAAAAAATAAATAAAGTGAGGACAAGATGGTCAAAACATGAGCGGATCCAGTACTTTTCATAAGAATGAACTACAATTTTCTTTTCTTTTTTTTGTAGTTTTTTGAGCTTAGGGGTGACCCAACCCAAGAAAAATAGGGTGAAATGTTCAAATTGTTCCCACCAAACAACTAGGCACCTAACTATATGGTGACCAGTTACCATTTTTAGATGGTATTGCAAGCTTTTGTCCTCAATAAGCCGTAGAACAACCAAATATTGTATAAACAATTGATTCCAAAGCTTCGAAGCAAGCCTGCTTCGCTCATTAAGAAGTTTAAATTCTTAAATTAATATGTATAATTTTAACCTTGTTTCCCTTGTTAAGGAGTTGAAATTCTTAAATAAAGAAATAAAATTTTACATCCTTTGTGAAAAATTGGAAAATTATTGTGCTTGTTCACTTTCAAACTAAAAGATTTAAATGTTGACCACCTACGTACACTTTATGGTTTGATTTATATTAAAATAACAAATGCAATTAACTAACAGTTTAACAACATAACACGTTAGGTGGTAGAATGAGAAAAAAATTTCTATTTAGGTAGAATTAAACCTTCATATGATTATTGTTCTAGAATCCAGATTCTCGCCAGATCCTCTTTGTGAGAATTCCGAGAATCCGTGAATTATATCCGTTCATCGTACATCGTACGGTTAAAAATTATTTTAAATATTTTTATTTAAAATTAAATACAAACAGTACTTGATAAATACTGATGACACGATATATGATGAACATATGCGATTTACGGATTCTCAGATCCTCACCAAAAGAATCGGGAGAGGGGATTCTGTTGGATCTTTCTAATCAACTCTAAATACGGAACACTAAATCATGTTAGGAAATCAATATAAACTGGTAATACATTTCCAAACAAGAAATATATTAACAATTAACAAGAAATACACACCTGAAACCAACAATTTTTCTTTACGTTAAAGCTGAGAGAGCCTTGTTTGGATACACATAGCTCCCTTTGTTTAATACCCGTACTTTTCCAAACAATAAAAATACAAGATTAATTAAGTTCTTCAGCAACTCCGTTTCCCTCTTCAAAGTCCCTTTCACTTTTTTGCTTCAAAGCTTTCATATGAAACCTGTATGTACAGTCTACCTAATGCTTAATTTATGTTAAGCTTTGGCCAGCCTTATAAAACCATTACACTGACCTTCTATCATGTCTCATCCCCTACAAACTTGCAATTCTATTCGAACAATTCGGTCTTGAAAATGGCAAGAACCATCACTTTCTGCTGGGGTTCTGCACTTCTGTTCATATACTTTGTCGGGTTCTTTTTAACTCCGGGCGAAGCTGCTATAAAGACGTACCAATTCGATGTGAGCAATTCATACTGGCAGCCTTAGAATGCATACTATAGTCTAGATTATTTATCTGTTTGCTAATTTGTACGTACATTTATTTCCAGGTTAAAGTGATCAACGTGAGCAGGTTGTGCCATTCGAAGCCAATTGTTACAGTAAATGGGATGTTCCCAGGACCTACAGTTTATGCTAGAGAAGGAGATACACTTGTCGTTAATGTCACCAACCATGCAAAATATAACATGTCAATTCATTGGTAGGAACATTTATCTTATTATCCCAGCATGAAATTAACATGACAATTTGGGTTTTCAGAAAGTAAAATTAATTTTTGATGGAATTTTGCAGGCATGGACTGAAGCAATATCGCAATGGGTGGGCGGATGGGCCTGCCTACATTACACAATGTCCTATCATGACAGGGCACAGCTACACCTATAATATTACTATAACAGCCCAAAGAGGAACACTTTGGTGGCATGCTCACATCTTTTGGCTACGAGCTACTGTTTATGGAGCCATTGTCATCATGCCGAAACAAGGAGCCGGATTTCCATTTCCTCAGCCCTACAGGGAAGCTAACATTGTTTTAGGTGAGTTAGCGCAGCTAGAAGAATTTGAAATACATGCTGAAAGACATTCAGAGTTTATGCCGAAATTAATGGCATTGTTTCTTGTAAATGGTGCAGGAGAATGGTGGAATAACGACGTCGAAGAGGTTGTTAAACAAGGAAACAAACTGGGATTGCCACCAAATATGTCGGATGCACACACCATCAATGGGAAACCTGGGCCGCTGTTTCCATGTTCTGAAAAACGTAAGCCAGCGCCTTCGATAGAGGAATTCTTTGACCCTAGATATTTGAGATGATACGTATATATAATTCTTGGTTTATATGCAATCTCAGATACCTATGCATTGGAGGTTGAACAAGGAAAGACATACCTTCTTCGAATCATCAATGCTGCACTCAATGATGAGCTATTCTTCGCCATTGCTGGCCACAATTTGACAGTGGTAGAAATTGACGCAGTCTACACCAAACCATTTACAACTCAAGCAATACTAATAGCACCAGGCCAGACTACGAATGTTCTGGTTCAAGCAACCCAAGCACCGGGCAGATATTTCATGGCTGCCAGGCCATTTATGGATGCACCCGTTTCAGTTGACAACAAAACTGCCACTGCAATACTACAATATAAAGGCATCCCGAATTCTGTACAGCCAGTCCTTCCTCAACTTCCGGCACTCAATAACACCGCCTTCGCATTAAACTACGATGACAAGCTAAAAAGTCTAAACACAGCACAGTTCCCAGCCAATGTACCTCTCAAAGTTGATCGACATCTCTTTTATACGATTGGTTTAGGAATCAACCCTTGCCCTACTTGTCTGAATGGAACACAGCTCACTGCTTCCTTAAACAATATCACTTTTGTGATGCCGAAAATTGGGCTGCTTCAAGCTCATTTTTTCAACACCAAGGGAGTATTTACCACAGATTTTCCCGACCGCCCGCCAACGTCTTTCAATTTCACAGGTGCTCCACTCACAGCCAACCTTGGAACGAAACAAGGCACCCGGCTTAGCAAGATTGCCTTCAATTCAACAGTAGAGTTGGTGCTACAAGACACCAATCTTCTCACAGTGGAGTCCCATCCCTTCCACCTTCATGGTTACAATTTCTTTATTGTTGGCTCTGGAATTGGGAACTTTGACCCGAAAAAGGACCCGGCTACCTTTAACTTGGTCGACCCCCCTGAGAGAAACACAGTGGGAGTTCCCACCGGCGGTTGGACTGCCATAAGGTTCCGGGCTGATAATCCAGGTAAACACATCAACATAACCAAACAGCATTATATGTTAAAATTTATATTTACTAGTTAAGCAAGTTATTGGCTTGTTTTAAGATACTTTACTGATCATATGACGGTACTTGAACAATTCAGGGGTGTGGTTCATGCACTGTCATTTGGAGCTGCATACAAGCTGGGGTCTGAAGACTGCATTTGTGGTGGAAAATGGGAAAGACACTGATCACTCTGTCATGCCTCCACCCAAAGACCTTCCACCTTGTTAGTTCCAAATACGTATCGGAGAACTCACAGTGGAGTTTCTAGGAGACAACAAACTATTTTTATTTTGAGCCTTTTGGTTGACAGATTCTTGTAAACATTACTGCAAAGTGCAGGAGTTCTACAAGCAAAACTCTTGTTCTAAGACGAATAAAAAAATGTAATGTGTATCGAATTCTTTTAAATGTGAATTTAGACCCGTTTTCTTGCAACAAATTTCTACAATGATCTTAGCAATCAAAACATGTACTTTAAAAGATTTTAATCTTCGTATGCCTCCACATCTGCTAAAAGTAATTTCAAAATCCCGAACGTGCAGCCTTGCTATCCTGATGAACTCATCGAATACCCTATGTTCCAACCTTATGAACATAAAGCTCCTAAAGCTCTCCAAGTCCTGGACCAAGACGAAGTATCACCTTCTAACATTCAAACATCAGCTTTAATCAAATAACGAAAGGGGCATTTAGATCACAAGCAAGATATACGCCATGCATATACCAATTGGATTCTTCCATGCGCATTAACCCATGTACCATTTCTGGCTCCTGAAGCAACCTGAGACTTTTAAGTTCAGATGACCTTAGTCTCTTGTGCCAAGTCCGTGTACAGTGAGTAACACTTGCACTTAATGCTAATTGATTGACTGGCGTCAGTGTTATAAGAAAACGTTTGTTGCTAGTCATTCTCACTCTAACCACTAGATTGTCTAGAGAGCAGCTATCAAAGACATGCACTACATTGCCTCCAAACAGTAGTTAAAACCCATGCTCCATCATCTAACCAACACTGAGTAAATTCTCCTCCAGTCAGGTACAAACAAAAAACTATACTAACTACTGCAGTGGGTTGATCTTAATTAATTTATATTTGTATACAAGCGATATCCGAGGAACAAAGAATTGAGCGCAATTGTTATTATTATTAACCAGTCGAGGCCCGAACACTTGGCAGTTTGAATATTGTATTAATATTTTTTTTTTTGAGAATTGTTATTGACACTTCTAAAATTCTTATTCTACTCTTTAAACTTTATATATTTAGAAAGAAAAATACACTTATGGGAGTGTAGAATGAGATTTTTGGAGTGCCAATAACACTTACCTTTTTTTATTGCATATTGTATTAGTACCTTAAAAAGAAGAAATTTGATATGGTATATTGAAGTATTATATATAATCATCCATTGACGGTTAAATATAAATCATTAGATGTCATTACAACATAACTTTATATTTGACCATCGAGATTGTAATTGTATTAAATACATGTACAGTATTATAGCAAAATCAACTTTATAAATAACCTTCTAGATGGTGATTGAAATAAACACCAAAATATCTCCTCGAAATATCCGCCGATATCGAAATATTTGTCAATACATCTGTAAATTAAGTTGTTGACATTTTGTGAAAATTGATATTTAAAACTTTGATTAGATAATATATAACCTCTAATTGGTGATTATACTAAGGGAACTGGATCCTCTCCTAATCTCGGAATGGGGATCCTCCTGAGCAGCTATTCAGGCCATTGAAATTTGACCTAACGACTCCAAACAGGAGGTCCCTTTAAAAGTTATAATAATTGCAGCCGTTGGATCAAGTTTAAACAATTTGGATGGGCTGCTCATGATAATTCCATTTTGAACTTAGGAGAGGATCCAGTTCCTATACTAAGTACATAGATGTATTGTAAGCCCCAAAAAGAAACCTCTACATTGGCGACACCCTTTGAATTAAGGATTGCCAAGAATATGAAATGGGCCTGAACATGGGTCTTTTTGGTTAAAACAATCCCAGCCAAGTATGATCATTTGGAGCCCATCTCCAATTCAGGCCCACAACGGGAAGGCAATCAAGGCACTGTTCTTCGCTATAAATACTAACAAGAAGAAACGGAAACCCTAATTCACCAAGCTGCTTATTCACTCACTTTTCTGAGCCTCCATAACCAAACCCCCGATTCTCTGTTTTCATCTGCATATTAATGTTTGTGCGTCTGGGTAAATATTCATATTTTTGTTTTATTAATATGGTTTGTAGGAGGAGGCAGGAGGTGCGATGATGATGAGAAATTTATAATCTCGTTAATCTGATCTTGTATGAGGAGAAACTATCTCATCCATTCATAATATTTCTGAGCACCTTCTTCCTTCTGTTTATTCTCATTTATTTATTTATTTGAATTCGAACTTTTCCTGCTTTCTGTACTTCTGTTTTCATTTGTTTTAGGTTTTTTTTTTCTTTGGGTTTTTCTTACTCCTAGTTGATGTTAGTAAATGTACTCAATACCTCGACTTTTCGTGGAAAAATGGTCAAAATCGAGGATTTTAAATTATGGGAAATGGGTTGTTTTTAAATTCAATGAATCAAGAAAATAAACGTAGTTGCCAAGCTTTGAGTGACAAATTTTACTAGTCGATTGATGTGATTCTTTTGAATCTTGATATCATTTGGTCTGCGGATGGTGCCTAATTACATGACTTTTAATGCCCAATATAATGAACTATTTATAATCTTAATTAATCATAAGTATTTTGAACTAGACTAGTCATATGCTGGGGTTTTGAACTTTGACCATAATACTGCTGGATTTTGGTTGGGGGTATATTTAATTGAGATTTTGAGAGATTTTATAAATTTATAGATTTTGATGAAGTTTAATTGGTTTATAGAGTTTGCGTATGATTTTGATTCAATTCTTTTGAAATATCAGGAGAAGATGTGAGATTTATAAATGGTTAAATTGTACTATAAAACTTCTTAAATTTCTCAACTTTTTAAAATTTTTTAAATAAATTTCTAATTACATGCATCTAGAATATTAGAAACTTATTTAAAATCCACGTACACAATTACTTAAAATTCTAATGATTTTAATAAATTACTTTAAAATGCTAATTAAATAGGATGTAGAATTTTAAAGAATTACTTAAAATTCTAATTAAATACCCATAAATTTATTAAAAGGATCAAAATTTCGCAAATGGAGAAGAATTTGGAATGATGATCAGGAGATTTTTTTTAATCGTGTTGTTTTTCGTAAATTATGTGACTAATTTTAGTTAAGTACTATTTATGTTCAGTTTTAAATATAAAATTTAAAATTTAAAATAATTTTTAATCGAACGATAAATAAACATGATTAAAACATCTTCCAGATTCTCATAAACAGAATCCAGAAAAGATCCTCCTTCAAGAATTTGAAGTTGTTATCCAGTAAAATAATTGAAGTGATGAAAAAAATCCTACTCATTGCGATTAAACAACGTTTGAAAAAATATATCCTTAATTTTCTTCTTTTTGGGACATGATCATCGTTTGTCTGAATTATTCAAGTTGAAATAAATAGATTTTTCATACGACATTTCAAACGTAAAAGAAAAGTCAGTGGTCGTAGGCAAGCCAAATACGAAAAGCAAAGAAATGGAATCCACGCGCACAGCACAGCCAACCAAAACCAGTCTCCTACCTGGCGGTTTTGCACCAAAACCGCGGGCCATGATTACCTGAACAAAACACCCCAACACAACCAAAATCGACAACAGAACTCCTGAATCCATCAGAAACCCACATCATTAAAATCATCCTTAATTCGGTTCTGCGACTCATACGGTGATGGCGTTGGAGACAGTGAAGGAGGACGAGGAAGTTTACAGTTGGAGAGAAGTGCAGCTTCTTCATATCGCGGAGCTCGAGAGAGAGAAGCTGGAGAGAAAGCGAGGCCGTGACATTATCATAGCTGTGGATCATGGCCCCAACAGCAAGTACGCTTTCGATTGGGCCCTCATCCACTTCTGCAGGCTCGCTGATACCCTCCATCTCGTTCATGCTGTTTCCAGTTAATTCATTTCTTCATTTACAAGCCTTCATGTTCTTGTATGTCTTTTATATGTTTCGCGTGACAGGTCCTCTGAGATTCTGCATTTACCATGGGGTGGGAGGTGTGGGTCCCACCCCGTTGTCCGTGTCCAGAGAGCTCATAGGACCTGTCACATTCAAGATTTGTTTTTATTCAAACCGTAGATGTATACGAGTCTCATGTTGTACGTTTGATCCTTTCACGCAGCACCTACACGATTATCTTGAGTTAACCTCTTGTTATATTTTCATGTTTAGATGTGAAAAACGAGATTGTTTACAATGCAAGTGAGGAGCTTATGGTGAAGCTTGCTATGGAGGCATTTCAAGTTGCCATGGTGGGTATAAGCGTAACTTATGGCCCTTTCCATCATGTGTGGAACATTAGCCATGTCAAATTTTATACATCAACTGTTGGTGATCTAATTTGGGGCATCCAAAGTTGCACATAAAATTGCGATTAAACAACGTTTGGCCATTGCAATTTGTCAAGTAAAGTAAGATTTGCTGTTTTGACTGTTGGTGGTGTATATTGTTGTGTTGGATAAGTGTAATCTAGTTGAATTAATTGGATAATGCCGATATAGCATGATAACAGTAATAACGAATGCCCCAACGCAGCTTGAACTGTTTTTATCATGAAATGTTGACTTGCCAAACTGTCTGAGAACATAACATGTGTGATTCCTACATACTCTGAATCTGAGTTATCGATTAATGCCTCATTTCATATTCGTATTCTGGTAATATAAACATCTGACGATACAAATTTGTGGGGAGAACATATTTCTGTTATTCTATAGGTAAATAATGTGGACAATTATGAAACCAACTATAGGTTATTTTCTTGCATTTGGAATTTTTTACATCCAATATTTTATGGAAATAGGTAAAGAGTACTGCCCGGATTGTGGAAGGGGATCCGGGTAAGGTAATTTGCAAGGAAGCAGAACGAATAAAACCAGCAGCTGTGATCCTAGGTACCCGAGGCAGAGGCTTCATTCAAAGGTACCCCTCCTCTTTCAATCTCAAACACACAATTCATTTACTCACTTTTATTGCTGGGATTTCTTCAGTGTACTAAAAGGAAGTGTGAGCGAGTATTGCATGCGCAACTGTAAATCAGCTCCAGTTGTAATCGTTCCAGGGAAAGGTATTATTTTCCATCTTATATGTGAATTGAACCAGCTTAAAGTCAATTGCACATAAATTTTTTTGAAACATATATGTTTGTATCTTGAATTGGCAGAAGCTGGAGATGAGTCGATGATCTAGCTAGCGGAACTCATGGTATGTATAGAACAGTTTGGTCCTTGATTAATGCTGTGTAATTTATTTTAGTACCTTTCTGGTTTGTCTGTATGTAGTGCGTAATTGGAACTTGGTAGCTGTAAGACTAAGAATCAAGATCTTTGATTATTTAGATTTTCCCGGAGTGTTGCCTCATCGCTTGATGTCTTGATCTCATTTCATGGAACAACCTGAATCAGTTCAGTAGATTCTGCTAGTAAAAATATAGAAGAGTAATCCTGTTAGCAGATATTGGTATGTAATTCTCCACTCCTTTTATCGCTGTGTTAGGAAAAGAATGAAAGATTCTTACCTACAACTTCGGATATATTCCCGTTATGTAATTCTCCACTCCTTTTACTAGTATCTGAGTGCAGAAAGTGAAGTGTGCCTGCAATCTTGATTTACAACCCAGAGCCCAATTTTGGTCACCGCTTTTACAATGTAGAAGCTTCAAACACTTTTTCCTTTTCCTCCCTATCTCTATTTTGAATTTTGGGCGTTCAGTTGTTGATTGAGGGCTAGAAAACTAAGGGTGATTGAGGGCTTTTAGGGTACGTTTGCTTGGGACTCCTAAGACTTTTGATGCGTCCTCGTGCCACCATTGCCTACACTCGCTAACCAAGAATTGCATCATCTCCTCGTTTCAAATTCCAGAATAGCATCGCGTCCTGTCTCTGCTCTCGTTGTCATCCGATTCACCTCTGAGCTTGCCTAGGCCCTTGCCGGTAGACAAAGACATAGAACCTGGCATGCGGACGACCTTGGCAGACACCCATTTCCATTTGGGCTCTTCTGATAATCCTTCCATAGAGCCTCTGCAACCACAACTTCATCTTCATCTTCTACACATCTGCGCAAGTCACTCGAAGCACAAAACCCAGATCTCACTGGATTGCAAAACCCATATTCGAATAGCGAAATCCAGATTTGAATCGCAAATTGCAAATCCTATAAAGAGTGTTTTAGAAAAGCTAACATATTTTCAAAGAGAGTGTTCGAGAGAGAGCGTGTGATCTAGAAAAAAAAACAAGAAAAAAAAACATCTTTTATTCTGCTTGTAGTTTGACACTACACCAAACTCTTCTCTAAGTTAATCTAGCTTAGTTTAGTCTAAGCCAGTTTAGCTTAGTCCTTGAACTTAGTCCAGTTTGAGATAGTCCAATGCAACAAACGCACTCTTAGGGTGTGATAGGATTAAAAGCACACCACAAAGTAGCACACAAATGTCCTATTGATTTTCTTTATTAACACTAAGATTTGTCAATTGTAGCATATGAAAATAAGGGTCTTTCCCGTAGAAGATTGTTTTATCCAACTACTTAAAATGTTACAAAACCTGGGTTACTGTCCCTATTGACCAGCCACCGAAAGATAATTATTAGACCGACTTATACTTAGCTAAAGTCTACGAAATTTTATATACAGACACTAAACACACAGAGCTACACTCACACAAATTTTTGGAGTTGATTTGCTATTTAAATTAAATCGAACAAAAACAGAACAGAAACATATTTTAAGAAGTTCACGAATTAAGAAAAACAAGTTAGGGGAATTGCTATCCACCACCAAATAATCATACAAACATGTTATGTTTCGTTCAAATTTCTTTTATTTTCAGATGAAGATGCTCAAGTTGGCTCAATGTTAGAACTCAACCTATTACTCTTTCTTATGTAGTATGTTAAGAGAATGACGTTTTCAACTTAATTTAGTCCGTAACATGCAATCTAGAATGGTGTGTTCATAGATTTAACAAGTAGAAATCATTAAGAACGAAAAGAGTTTGAGTCATCACAAGGCATTGTAAGTACTAGTGTTGTCTTACTTATCCTACAAATTGATTCATATGTTAATTGTAATTAACAAGTACTACTCTAGAACATATGTAGGTCTTCATTCGATAAGGGCAGACACACACATATTGATAGCATTAGAATCCTAGATATGCTTAGTAAGTATGCATCCGTAGAAAACACATAAAGAATTCATCAATGAGACAAGTAGTGAACCAGTTTTCATCCATTCATAAAAGTAATTCAAACGGAATGTCATAACAAACTTGCAATCATATTCAGGGCTTCAAAACAGCCCCTAACTACTAAAAATTAGTTACACATAATCCTTAAATAAAACCAAAAGAAAGACATGAGTTTGAGAAGATAAAACCAAAAGAAGAGAATGCCAAGATTTCCTCTTTCCTCTCCTTCCCTTCCCAACGATGTTGCCTTGTCTTTTTTTCCTTCCTTTCCGTTGCAACCTGCAACCTTCTTTTTTTCTTTCTTTTCTATTTCTTTTCTCTCTCTTTTTCTTCCACCTTTGCCACTGCAACCTGCAGCCTTTTTGTTCTTGCTTGCTGCCCCAGTTTCTTCTCTATAACTCACCCCACTAATAGCCATTTAGTGATGACAATAAGTGAGAGGAAATGGTAAAACAATTGTAACTCTTTAGGTAGCTTTTATGCCCATTACTCCCACTTAATTTTCCATTTCCTTTGATATTTGAATAGGTGTCAGCTGACTTGTTTTTGGCTGCATCAGTTTTGGCTGCTAGATTTATTGGATTTATTGCTTTCAATGCTTTCTTGTCAGTTATAAACTGCTCAGTCTCTTGGGAACCTTTTAGTGTTAAAACGGCCATAACTTCTTCTAGAAACATGATATTAGCAATCCGTGAAATGCTCCAGAAACTAGACATCTGTAGCTTTCCAAGCATATAAGGCTTATTCTCTAATTCATTCTAAGCTGTTCGCAACTTGCTTCCAAAGTCAGCTGATATGCACAGGCAGTTTTGACAAATTTGTTACTTAAAATTCCACTTGTGCTATTTTTCTTTTCTTTGCTTGACAAATCCCACAAAACACAAAAACAAAGTAAATAGCTCAAAAATATAAGGAACTAACTAAGAAAAGACAATTGAATTTGATGTAAAATATAGGTGGAGCACCGTTATTTCTTTTGGTTTTCGTCAAGAAAATCGTGCCGGTGGAGCACTGGTGGTACTAACACAGGCTCGACTTGGAGAAAAGGAAGAAGAGAAAGTTCATAGCAAATGAAGAAGATAGGTGTCAAGGGAATGACTTTTTTGCCCTTTAAAGGCAGTCACGTGGGTAGCAGGTGACATACTTAATCGAAGAATAGATGAAAAATTCAAAAATTTAACAGCAGGGTGGAAATTGACTAGTTATGAGAGTTGATGGGGGAAATTGGCCAAAATTAAAGTTGAGAGGGAAAATTAGGGGGCAAATCGACGAATGCCTCTATTATATATTAAGTTTCCAAGTAGGCGTGGAAATGAATGATTCATTCTCTAGGGAGAAAAATATAGTAATGGTCCCTCAAATTTTAACCTAATGGGAGCAATGGTCCCTTAACTAAAAATCTATGACCATTGGTAATTTGTTCTAAAATAAAAATAAAAAGAGGAGTCTCAAAAACATTTATTCTTCTGGTTAGAGATGAAGTCAAATGTCTTCCACCGGCTTGTTTTTACAAGATAATTACATTAGATTCATCCAAATTATGGACAAAAGTCAGAACAAAAATGTCTTTACCAGCTTGTTGAGTGTTCACATTTTGTTATCTTTATCCACCTCTCACAAGTAACCATTTTCTGAAGTCGTACGTCATGGTAAGCATTTTGGATTCCTGTTGTCAAGAAAAAGACAAAACTTGGGAGCTCTGAGCAGCTCCAAACAAGCTTTTAGAGTTGCACTGATATTTGCACTATGCAGAAAGAATCTTTATAGGTTTTGAGCTTTCACTCCTTGAAACGGCACCATGTGAGTGAAAGGTGACCAAAGAGACCTCAAAGATTTAGTATAGCAAAATGTTTCCACACCAAATTTGTAGTGGACCCAAGAAATGGGAAAGGCAAGATCATCTCTCACCATCGAGAGGAACAAAGAGAATCAAAGGAGATCATTCATATGGATGAGGCCAGGTCCACGGACCTATCCATGTACTCATCTTCCTTTGGTAGCACTTTTCGTTTTTGGTTTTCGGTTTTCATTTTCAGTTGAAAAGATGGAGACGAAATGCATAGGGAAAAAGAGGGAGAAGAAGGGACTAGTTGGTGGCTTCACCGCAGTTGTCCATCCTTTCGGGGAAAAGACTTACATGAGCATTTCAGTCCTCCCCGTAGCCACCTATCATGCGATTCACCAATGTTAGAAATCGAATTCAGGACTGTGCCAGTGTATTATCATCTAGGTCTCTATCACCAAATATTATTATTGCTATCAAAAGGGAGCTGGGTCGGTCCACATCTAGTGCTTGCCTGAACTTGTCTCTCAACTCCATCCATTAGAGGGACAACTTGCATTCCATCATCAATCTACAAATATGATTTGGCAAATTTTCCAATCCCATGACAGCTGGTGGCTATCAACACTTGTCTTTCACTTCAATTGGAGGATAATTTAGTTTGTGAAACCATCAAAGCTTACCTGTCACGACGTTATATCACTTATGTTATTTCTGTTCTCATATGCCCTGGCGCATATGAATCTACTGATACGATCAGAGTTTAGGGTTTAGGATTTAGAGTAGGAGAGGAAGAGAGAAACAGCGGTGCATGCCACCGTGGCAAGAAAGTTCTCTTCTTCGTCTTAAACTTGTTATTATGGTTCCATTTTCTTGATCCATCAACCTTATTTAGTACAATTTGGTTAACAGACAATGGATGATTTTTGTGGGAAATTTATTTTATTCATACTATGTTGCAGGTATAGATACAAACATATATATATAAATATGTTATGTACTTAAAGAGAGTAGAAAAAATAATCTGGATCAGATGCATCAAAGTAAACTCTTCCAAGAATCAAATGAGTGACGTTTCATTCACATCTCCATCTTTAAATTGCTATCTTCAATGGAACCTGCAAAAATAACATCATGAGAGTAATTATTCACCTAATTTTCCCTCTCCAAATACAACAGAAAAAAAAAAAAATTGATTGCACAATCAAAAGCACCATCATTATTTGATTGAGTGAATTGGAGCCTAAACTTTTTCTTAGTAGTGATAACCATTATGTGGTTTACAGACTCTAATTGCACCACACCGTTAACTTCTCCCCTTTTCTATCCATAATGTTTAGGCAAGATCTTAATCATTCAGAGAAAAAGAAGAAAATCTTTACCTTTGATCGATTTAGGAGTAAAAGCAGATAACATTTAGAAAGAGATGCTTTAATCGATGCTAAATATATGAACGAGAGATTCAACTTGAGTGCAAAGAGGCAAAGACATTGTTCTGGTCGATTGGCCTAACCCGCATATACATCTAGAAAGCTTTCTTTAGTCCATTAGAAAGGAATTACTAAATTCCTAAGCAAAATCATTAGACATTTGTGGGTCTATGTGGTCCATAATCTCTACCACAGTTGGTTGAATCTAAAAATTCTTATCTTACAAAAATGGAGTCATGGGAAATGGTATGAGAATGCAGGAGAGAGATTAGCTCTGTCTACCTGTAAATGGTTGCGATTGAAAGGATGATCTTCCTTGTTGAAATTCCACATCGAAAATGTTCTGTAAATCAGCATCCCAAATTGCCGTAGGTTGGGGTTGCTGCAGGTTGCATGTAAGATTTTCAATCAAAATATTGCTAAACTTTTACAGTCTATATAACTGACACAAGCTTTTATAGACATTACAGTGAAACAGGATGTGTCAAGAAATGGTTCGGGGATCGAACTCGGAGCGCTTATGGTTCTTCGAAGTGCCAAATCAGTGGAATCTAACCCCATATCCAACCCAGAAGATGAAACCAATTGTTGCATTGGATTCAACTGAAGATACACAGAATTGGTCATTTCTGATGACGTCCCCATCGTCGGAAAGTTGGCCGCACACGTAGGAAACATCTGCTGATTTGAAGCGAAATGGGACTATAAGTAACGGAACTTTGGACAAACAAGTCTTCATTAGTTCGCCACAAGAGTAAAGAGCATAATTTTCTTAAGAACATTTTTTCCTCATAAGCCATTTTAAGCAATTTCACACATCCAATTTTCGAGAACGAAACGAATGGTAATTGGGATATCTATAAAAACTGATTGGTCTTATAGTATTAAAGAGATTCCTGACCTCTTTTGCAAACAAGTCGTCGATGTTGAAGTCAAGCCTCGGATTCACAGCAGCTAGTTTCATAGACAGGAACTGTTAAGTATGAAGAGGATTCGTTTAAGAATACAGAACAATAAAAAGATAACGAAGTACTTAAACCGATGATCGGAAAAGATCAAATGTATGTCACCTCTACTTGTCGTTGAAGAGACTGAACATAATTGATGATTTCATCAAGCATGCCGGCCTTGCCAGTGATCTTGTTGCACCCCGGTACTAAATCTTGCAGATATTTCATTCTTTCACTGATCTTTTCCCTCCTCACCTGCATGATCATGAGACCAACACATGGCATAAATAACACGAAATCGAAGAACAAGATCCATGCGCAGTAAAATTTGTATATAAATTTGAACACCAAATGTCCTACTCACCCTCTCAGCCAAGCTGTGGCTATCCGTGGCCTGACCTCGCCGCGCACGGACATGGATGTAATCAGGCTTTTGAACCTCAGAAGCTTTTGAATTGTCCTTTGAAGTATCACCAGAAGATTCTCCGTCGTTGTTCTTGGTGCTGGTTTGCTCTGTGATCTTGGAGTCCCCTTTTTCTGCACAACTTTTTGTTCTTTTCTCTGTGCTATCACTTTCTGCAGCAGCAGCAGCCTAGAAATCCCAAAAACAGAAACACAATTACAACACAAAAAACGAAACTTAGTACCAATCAAATATGTCGCAAATAACTAAATATGATCAATATATGGTCGTTATGTGATTTTGATCATTTAAACAATTGGAATTTCTAAAATTCTTCCTTTCAAACAATTTCTAAAACATATAAGAGTGTGTGTGTATTAGAAAGTTGAACGTAGAGGGCACACCTTATTGATCTGCACCTTATCAGCCTTCCTCTTCTTAAAGCTTTCTTTCCCTGCCGGCAAGCTAAGCTTCTGAGACAAAACGGTGTCGCCGGACGTCTTCTCGGTGGCTACAGTGGGCGGGCAGCTAAAAGTCCTGGAGATGTTGTTATTGAGAGCATTACCCATCCCTTCAAACCCTGCTGTGCCATTATTATTCATGACCAACCCACAAGACCCGAAACCCAATTCAGCCCACCCGTTTTCGGAACTCGGGTCGGGTTTCACCGCCCGGTTACCACTCAGAAAACCCTGAAGCCCCTGAGCATGAATTGGAAGGGAGAAAACCCCACTAAGCTCGCCCCCGCCAAAATTATACTGAATATGCTGCTGTTGTTGATCATGATGGTCACTCTGCTGCCACTTCATCCGGGCCCTCTGCCTCTCCAGCACCGTCATGTCGGTACAGTTTCCGGCTATAAATGTCCCCGGCGCGTTCATACAGTTCAACATCTCGGGTAAAGCTCGGTTCATCACAGAGACAAAACACAAACAGATTTTTGGGCACTTCTGAAATCAAGTGATGTGATCAGAAATCGAAGGGGAAACAATTGATGGGTAATAATATATTTGGGGTGTGAAGAATTGTGGTTAGTTTTGGAAAATGTGGTCAGATTGGTTAGGATTAAATTCTCATGCCCAATTCATTGAGGAGTTTTATGGACCAGGTTTGATCATAAAGTAGTAATAATGTGTAATGGGAGCGGGTGGGTACTGGAGCAGTTAGAGAGAGAGAGAGAGAGAGAGAGAGAGAGAGAGAGAGGTGGAAATGTGAGAGAGAGCTAAAGAGGAGAGGGAGGGGGTTAGGTATATATAAAGAGGAAGAAAGGGTTGGCCGGAATCTGACAAAGAAATAGCCGGAATTATTAGAGAGAGAGAGAGAGAGAGAGATTTAAGATGATGATGATGATGATGATGATAGAGGAGAGAGAGGAGGATGAAGCAACTGGGGCAGAGAGCCATCGAATGTATCCACATAACCAGAGGCCGTGGGTTGTGGGCCATGGTTGACATGACCGCCACGTGGTCTTGTCCGGTTTAAAACGGAGTGTTAAGGATGGTTGCCAGGTTTAGGGTTCCGACGGAACGGGGTATATTCCGTGGTGCTGCATGCTAAATATGGCTAATTGTCAGCTGAGCATGATGAGGCGCGTTTGACGACTGCGTGACAACTAACCAAAATTTTAAAACAAATTTGCTTACCAAATGATGTGGACTAATAGAAATAAGGACGTTAATTAATGCTTAAATAATATAATCTAATTAATTATCAATAATTATATCAGTTGATTTGCAACTTTAGTCTTCTTAACATTATCCATTAATTATACTATTTAGTCCCAAGTATTCGCTTAATTATTCATTTTTAATGAACTTTCTCGTTTAATAATTAACACAAGTATCCTTGCATAGTTTTAGATAACAAAAATATATTTTTCTAAAAAGGGAATTTTCGACCCTGAGGAGAGGGATGGGGTCACAATGGGTCATCACTAATTATGTTTCAAACATAGCGCAATAAGTTGAAGTTGAAACCTCTCATTTATAACTAAAGATGAATACCACTAAACTGCACTACTAGTTGATAACATCCATGCATTGTAGGTATTGGTATCATTGAGCTTTGGATAGTGTTGGCGAGTACATATAACTCAATGATACACCCTTAATTTCGAATAACAGCTTAATAATACAGTGTGTGTATTTGGCCAACATAATATGACTTTAAATTTTAAGATTTCAAAATATATTGAAACAATGGACCAATCAAACACAAGACCTCAAATATATGGCACAAACATAGTTAGATTCTTCTAGCAAAGGAAAATATAGTCAGATGATCTTTCTAGTAAAGTAAATCATGTACTGCCTAAATTCACTTGTTCACAATTTCTTTAACAAAAGTTTGGCAAAATCAGTTGTTCAATTGCGTTCAGGTGTAAATTAATTTTGATGATTTTTGTCAAATGTCAAAACTATCGGGAGCATTTTTGCTCACACCATAACTATGGTGTATGCTCATCATACGCTTAATCATTTGCCACATGTCATTTCACATAGTTCTAGTTAACTTTCACATTATTAAATGTTACTTTTTCGATTCTGGAAAAAAATTAATCAAATGATAAGTGAAATGACACGTGGTAGATAATTAGGTGTATGATGAACATATACTATAGTTTATGATGATGAGCAAAAATGCTCACCAATTCAATCACAATGACGTACAATATCACTAACTCCAATTGCCACGGCTAATGACCGTTCAAATATTGACGATATTAATGTTCAAATATTTGATGACACAAGTCATCATTTCAAACAATTAGAATTAATACTTTCACTATTTTATCAATTTCTTATCTCCTTTCCTTTCCATTCTTTTGGAGTAATGTTACATTTATCATATTTTTTATATTATATTTATACTACCTCTCTAATAGAGGTAGGACCCACCAATACATGTAAGTCCTACCTCGATTAGAAATGTGATATGAACACTATGGTAAAGTCACAAAAGGCGCTAAGCATTAGTCGGGTAGCAGACAAGAGCTTAGCGCCTAGGTGGGGAGGCCTAAGGTCATTTGCAGCCAAGGACTCTAGACCACACTTAGCCTTAAACTGACGAAATTATTCTAACCAAGAGAAGAGAATTGGACTGAAGGAATTAGGCTAAGTTTGGCCCTAAAAAGTAATTAAATATGTAGAAAAATAAAATATAGCTCATACATGATCGGAGATGGAAAGATTTAGCCATAAAGTAGTTTTTATTTTTTAAAGGGCTAAAACATATCCAAGGACTACGTTTAATCCTCTATGACTCGAGATGGCCAATGTAAAATGAATAAGTATTTTGTAAATGACTAATGTTTTTTAGAATGCTAAGATGTTATATGTTTGAGTGAGGTACTTTGAAGTCCTAACAGATTTAAGCGAACTGAGGATATAATATATTTCAAAACATTAGATACGAGAGATAAAAATTCTACTGCATGATCATTACAAAAGGGTACGTAAGAGCAATTTGTAATTGACTAAATATTCCAAGTAGTTATTTGTAAATTCAACTGGCATGTTTTTGTAATATTCATCTGGTGCATTTCTAATGTTTGGTCTCTAACATTTGGGATTCATTGCTTATTAATTCTGCATCCTTCACCCAAACATCGCCTTAGCCTTCTATGTAAATTTAAAATGCTCTTTTCACCAAAAATTAAAAAAAAAAAAAAAAAAACTCTAAATTGCTATGCATTAAGAGAAAAAGGTTCCCTTCTAAACATTTTATTTAATAAAGTATGATACAATTAACAAAATTATAAATAAAAAAATCACGCGAGAAAATGTTTAATTAATACACTAAGATACAGGAAAGTTAATATAAAGTTGTTTTATAATTTCTGTTTATAATTCCTTAGGAATTTCTCATACAAAAATGCCCATCAATCAATTTCAATATCTTATAAAAAATCAATTTTGTTTATGAAGTGATTTCACTAAAATCATAATCCCTTGTTGCTATTCGATTTCAAAGTAATGGAAGTTTGCATCTCCGTTTTCTCTACATAGACATTAAGTCTACCTCACTAAAGTTATTCTTTAAACTTATTCAAGGTCTAAGTGTAAGATTACACTTAGAAAGTGATTGATGGATTAAGAAAACAAATTATATATTTCCAAGCGACAAACATACATTAAGCGAGTCATAAATTTATTTAAACATAATGCATTACTAGTAATTAGGGGTGGGCGTGGGACGAGTTTAGTCTATTTTTGGTGAGTCCATTTCTATAAACAAGCCTAAGCCAGTTCGAGTTAATGTATTTTTATTAATGAAACAAGCTCATCTGGATTCGTTTGATACAGTCCGGCTCCTACGATGAATAGATCTGTTTTCAATCATATGTCATATAACAAAACAATAATATAAACATCTCTGTGTTTCTGCACAAAAGAATTACGTCTAGCAAAGCCAATACCAACACATCAAAACTCCGTAAGTCCAAGAAACTACTTAGGCTACTAAAATCACTTTATTGCCTAACTGAAATAAATCAAAGAAACGCCCATAATGAAAACGATCTCATACAACTCAATCTTCAATTGTTTGAATGTGCAACTGCAACCACGAAACTCTTAAGACCCTTTATTTAAAGAAGTTTAATCATTGTTTTAGTCTTCTTAGGGTTAGATAGATATAGAATTATGGATTATGAGCTTCATTGTGGACCACTAACAAAATGACAAATACTAAGACAACTCTTAAATAGTTCAGGCCAGGATATCCGCACATAAGATCATGAACTCGATTTTACACCGGTCGGGTTTAACTCAGGCCTTTTTGAAAATTAAAAGTAAGAACGGATCCACAGGTGCAAAGACTCATTTGCCCGCCCTTAGTAGTAATTATTTGTTACCATATTATGTACATACTCACCTAATAATGTTAACGTGAGCGTAGCCCATGTGGGCTTGGTTGACTTTTGTGATTAGGGTTTCCTATAATCTTGTTGTGTTCTAATCTCTTGTAATTAACATATGTGTGAATATATATAGGGATGTGATATCCACACACCCCTTTTTACTTCTTCCACACCTTTTTAGTTTTCGGCCGTCGGATCAGATGAATTGAGGAAGATCAACGGACATAAATTAACAAGGAGTGTGTGAGAAGTAAAAAGAGGTGTATAGATAGCACACCCCTATATATATTGGCCTCCATACAGAGAAGAATACGATACAAAATACTCCCATCTATTTTAGCATGGTATCAAATTAGGATGATTCTAGGATCACTCTCTCTACAATAACCCTAATACCCAAATTTCAAGTTTCTCAAATTCCAAATTCCAAACACAAATCAAATCTCAAACAAAACTTCATATCAAATTCTCCAATTTTTTTTATTCTACCCTCAAATCAAAATTCTCAGAAAAAAAAAAAAAACACACCAAAGTTTAGGAATGTTCGTACAAAACCTTAGGCTGCATCAGGTGGTGCGTTTGCATCATGACGTACCAACACTTGAATTATTGATTATGGAGCAACGAATCGTATGACATGTGACCCAGGTTTACTCAAATCTTTTCATCCTTCCCATAGTTATCTGTGTCCACGACTAATGAAACTCCTATAACTTTAATTGGGGAATGCTCAATCTCTCCTATACACTTTTTTTGCATATGAACTACTCAAAATGTGTCAATGAAGGTGACAATGAGGTGACAATGAAGGTGTCCATGAATTGACCCCAACTTCTTCTTTTGCAAGGCCCCCAGGAAGAGATAAGCAAAAGGAAGTAAAGAGAAAAGGGAAGTCCCAAGATCCGATTAGTGCACAAATTGCTACCGAATTTGCAAGATTGACTGAAAGCCATAGCTCTTGGGAGGAAGAAGCGGCCTGAATGTGTTTGGCCATAACGCAAGAAGGGGATAGGGAGCAAGAATGGTTTGAATGTAATTTCATGATGGAGGACCTCAACAAATACACTCTTGAGAGGAAGAAGTTCATATGTGATAAGCAAAAGAAAATTTTGTGAAGGCATGCCACAAGGAGTATATTTCAAGATGATGATTCATCTCAAGGCTATATCCCAAGTTCACCACCAAGTCAAGATGGTGCATATCATTATTAAGTTTATGTAGTTTATGAATTATCAATTGTATTAAGTTTATGTGGTTTATTTATGTATTGATTTAGTGATTTTTCAATATTTATCAGAATTTAAATATTTTTAGGTTAAAATGTTCGTAAAATTAATTTAGGATAGTCTACATTATTTTTTTTTAAAGTTAATTGAAAAAAAAATTAGCCTAAATTCATTCTTTAATAATCTAAGACTAAATTTTTAGGTTAGAAGGGTTGGAGCAAAAAACTATTTCAGGGCTAAAACCTAAATTTTCTGGGCTAAAACGGGTTGGAGATGGTCTTAAATTACAAC